CAAGGTCACCCAGCCGGCTGCAAGTGGAGGAGTGGGGAATCAAACCTAGTTCTCCCGGATAAGAGTCTGTGCTCCTAACCTCTACACCAAACTGGTTCTTAGGTCACACCTGGAAATGACTGTTAGTTTTTTGTTTTATTTTTTTTCATTCCTGTAGAGCCTTTTTGTTGCATGGGGACGGACGGGGACACACACACACACACTGGAAGTCTAAAATACACATTAAATAAATAGTCCTTTCTCCTCTCTCCACAACACCATGAAATGTAATATTTAAACAACTGCCCCATGACATGGACACTTGAAAGAAGAAGAGGAGATTGGATTTATACCCTGTCCTTCACTCCCGAAGGTGTCTCAGAGCGGCTTACAAACTCCTTTCCCTTCCCCTTCCCACAACAGACACCATGTGAGGTAGGTGGGGCTGAGAGAGCTCTGACAGAAACTGCTCTTTTTCAAGGACAGCTCTGACCAGAACTATGGCTTGCCCAAGGTCATCCAGCAGGTGCAAGGGGAGGAGTGGAGAATCAAACCCGGTCCTCCCAGATTAGAGTCCGCGCACTTAACCACTACACCAAACTGGCTCTCAGCGGATTATTTATTTCTGACAGATGGATCCAGCAGCTGGACAGAATGGCTCCGGCCAGCGTCTATCCGGGAACCGCCATCTCGGAGCGCCCACTCACCTGAGTACGGGTTGCTGGCCAGGCCGCCCTCTCTGCCCGTCAAGGTCGCAGGAGCGGGGAATGTGATCCCATAATAATCCTGAAGAAAAGTAAAAACACCACAGCCACTTTAATGGTTGCATCGCCTGCTGACATTCCTTGACAAAGAAGCTCTCGTGTTTTAACAACTCTGGTTGTTGCAGCAAAACACATGAAGAATAAAGCCCACCGCCTCAAGCCTTCCCTGTCCTGATCTGGAGCAAATCTTCCCTTTTCGGGCTTTCCTGCTGGCATTTGGAACAGGGCTTTCCGTTTTCGGTTTCTGGTCAGTTTCGATTTCGGTATCTCAGCCTGACTCTCGCTGCCTTGCTTTTCGGCTGCCAAAAGGGAAAAAAGGATGGCCCCGAGCCAACCAAAGAGTCAGGCACGGAAACACCACTGTGACGACAGGAATTGGGAGACTCTTACAAAGACTTAATAACATATAACATTTGGGAAGGGGGGGGGGAGAATTCTCTGATCAAACGTTCTCTTTCCTATTAGCTGGTACTTCGTTCCTTTAACGCCCTCTTTAAGTTGACGCGGGAGGGGCGGAAACATCTGGTGAATAGAGGATGGAAGTTAGCCAAGGATTATCAGGCAACAACTCTGCTCTGGCACAAGTTTCGAGTTGTCTTCTGCGTATGCTTTAACAAAAAAAAAAAAGTGGTTTGAGGCTCCTTTGGGACTGCGGTCTGATCAGTTACAAGCTGGTGGTATCCTTTTGTTATTTTTTTTTTAGCTTGAAGGGTGCTAAAGATTAACACCCTTGTTTTTTTAAAGATGAAGAAGTCTTGCAGGGCATCCCGTGACCTGCACTGTCTAGGTTCAGATCCCTGGAGGTCTTCGGGGAGTCAACAAACAAAGAAATTCACGAGCTCTCAGCCCACAAAGTCAATCAATCAGAAGCCCAAACATTCTGAGGGTGAGTTTGGGAGGAGAGGTGAAGGCCAAAACATTCCTATAAATTTCCCCAGCTGTTCTAAGTCCATTCCAGATGCTGGAGTCTCCCAAATATGCAGAAATCATTCTGAGGGTGAGTTTGGGAGGAGAGGTGAAGGCCAAAACATTCCTATAAATTTCCCCAGCTGTTCTAAGTCCATTCCAGATGCTGGAGTCTCCCAAATATGCAGAAATCATTCTGAGGGTGAGTTTGGGAGGAGAGGTGAAGGCCAAAACATTCCTATAAATTTCCCCAGCTGTTCTAAGTCCATTCCAGATGCTGGAGTCTCCCAAATATGCAGAAATCCTCACTTTTTTACATGTTTAGGGCATTCCTTTACTTAAATAGTTTCTATGCCACCTTTCCATCCAAACAGAGTCCCCGAAGGAGCAAAAGCTAAAACGTTTGGACATCAAGCCCGCATTTAACATGCAGAAGTTTAAGAAAATAAATAAATAAATATAAAATTATTCAATTAGGAGCATAAACATGAACACCCAACCGAGGCAAGGGGGCCAACAGCAGTTACTGGAGGTATGCTGTCAGCTATGCTGCCATGAGTGTGGTGTATGTTTCTAATTGGTGTGCATTCCTTCCCATGCGCTTAATTGCATCTTTGCTGTAACGCATATCTCTCAAGGCCACTGGAGGAGTTGGTGTGTCTAGGTTTCGTGGGAAGCTTCTTATGTTCCCACCTTCTGCAGCCGTTAGCAATGTGCCAAATGCCCACGCGCGGAAGCCCATCTAATTGAGTACTACATGGGTGGGTGTGCATACGAAAGCCCTATATCCTATTATGCGCATAGGTAACCCGCCATTCCTAACAGTGTTCATGTTACTGCATCTATAGCTTTTCAATAAAAGTAAAACCTTCCTAGAAGCATGTACTTTGTTGTCTTGCTGTGGATCCTGAAATATGCCAAATGAAACAAAAAAGACCTTCACCCGCTGGAGGAAGACAACGCTAGAGGGAGGCGGACAAATTCTCCTGGGGAGGAAGAATGAGTGTTCAGGAGCCCCTTAACGGCTGACAAAAGTTGTGGCAGGGCACAAGCTTTTGTGAGTGACTCACGAAAGCTCCTCCCCTGCCACAAATCTCGATAGCCTTTAAGGTGCTACTGGACTCTTGCTCTTTTCTACCTGACGAAGTGAGCCGTGACTCACAAAAGCTCCTCCCCTGCCACAAATTTCGGTAGTCATTAAGGTGCTACTGGACTCATGGCTGTTTTCTGCTGCTAGAGATGAGACTAACACGGCGACCCATCTCCATCTGTCTTCCTGGGGAGGAAGTTCCAAAGTTTTGATAACCGTCTGGGGCAGTGTTCCCTCTAAGCTGAGTTCGTGTGAGCCAGCTCACAGTTTTTTTTAGCCTCCAGCTCACCCATTTTTGCCTTAGCTCAGGAAGGACGGCTCCAGGGCAAACTAATTCATGCAGCGGCCAAATCGCTTGTTCACCACTTCAATGCCAGTCGCTCACAAAGCAGAATTTTTGCTCACAAGACGCCACAGCTTAGAGCAGAGGTGTTAAATATGTGGCCCGGGGGCCAGATCAGGCCCCTGGAGGGCTTCTATCAGGCCCGCAGTGGAACTGGCTGTCTTCTGCTTCTTCTTCCAGTTCTGCTGCTGCTGCGTCATCGTAGGTTTGCAGCTGACAGATACACACCTGAACAGCATACTCAAGACTGCAACAGCACAGACATTTTGATGCACTAATGCAGAGCAAGAGGTGTCAGTTATCAGACACTGTTAAATAAACAAAATATTGCAAGAGTGCTAATGTTTTAAGCATGGTTTTAAGTAAAAAAAACAACACCTTTGTGTGTGTGTGTCCTTTATAAAGTTTATATCTCCACTACCTGGCATTACATTCTATGACACATGTGGCCCGGCCCAACAAGGTCTCATCTGGCCCTCATAAGAAATGAGTTCGACACCCCTGGCTTAGAGGAAGCATTGGTCTGGGGTACACTTTGAACCCTTCCTTTTGAGGGAGAGCTATTCCAAGTACCCCACTTTCAGACATGCCTAACGACTGGGGTGAAATGGCTGCATACGTACTACATTTCGGGGGCCAGGCTCACCCAAAGCTGCAACGTAAGAACCTAAGAACATAAGAGAAGCCAATGTTGGATCAGGCCAGTGGCCCATCCAGTCCAACAGTCTGTGTCACACAGTGGCCAAAAATACCAGGGGCCCTCAGGAGGTCCAGCAGTGGGACCAGGACACTAGAAGCCCTCCCACTATTCCCCCACCCAAGCACTAAGAAGACAGAGCATCCCTTGCCCCAGACCGAGAGTTCCTCTCTAGACCTTGTGGCTAAGAGCCACTGATGGACCTCTGCTAACAAACAAACTAACAAAGTTAAGAACATAAGAAGATAAGAGAATCCAATGTTTGGTCAGGCCAATCGCCCCTCCAGTCCAACATTCTGTGTCACACAGTGGCCACACACCACCTTCCAAGGCCCTCTCATGACATTTCAAGTATTTTTTTTTAAAAAAACATATTCCTATATACGCATCTCAAGTGATTGTTTTAAGAAGCAGAGTGATCACTACTGAAGTCTAAAGCAGGACAACCCCCCCCCCAAGCCTTGCTGACAAGGGTCCTCCAGGGACTCATCCAGAAGTCCTCCTCTTAGCCTTTGCGCCGAGAATCAACGCTCCCTCTGAGCTGCGCAGTCCTGTGAGCACAAATCCGACTTTGTGAGCGACTGGCATTAGAGTTGTGAGTGAGCGATTTGGCTCCTGCACAAGTTAGTCTGCTCTGGAGCCCTCCTTCCTGAGCGAAGGCAAAAATGTGTGAGCCGGAGGCTAAAAAAACCCGTGAGCTAGCTCACACTCACTCAGCTAAGAGGGAACACAAGCAATGCTCCCTCTAAGCTGCGGAGTCTTGTGAGCACAAATTCTACTTTGTGAGTGACTGGCATTAGAGTTGTGAGCGAGCGATTTAGTCTGCTCCGGAGGCCTCCTTCCTGAGCAAAGACAAAAATGTGTGAGCCGGAGGCTAAAAAAACCTGTGAGCTAGCTCACACTAACTCAGCTAAGAGGGAACAATAAGCAATGCTCCCTCTAAGCTGCGGAGTCTTGTGAGCACAAATTCTACTTTGTGAGCCACTGAAATTAAAGTTGTGAGCACACGATTGGGCTACTGCACCGGTTAGTCTGCTCCGGAGCCCTCCTTCCTGAGCGAAAGCAAAAATGTGTGAGCCGGAGGCTAAAACCCCCCCTGTGAACTAGCTCACACTAACTCAGCTTAGAGGGAACACTGCTGCTAAGTCTCTTGGGATAGGAAAGGCAGAATTATGTAAATCATCTGACACGGGGGGGGGGCCTTCCGTGACCTCACAGGCTCAGAAAGTCAATGAGGTCACTCTCGCTGGTGCATAGGGTTGCCACCTCCAGGTAAACACCTGGAGATTTTGTGGGCGGAGCCTGAGGAAGGTGGGGTTTTTTGGGGGGGGAGTTCAGTGGGGTCTAATGCCATAAAGTCCACCTTCCAAAGTAGCCATTTTCTCCAGGGGGGGACTGATTTCTGCCACCTGGAGATCAGTTGCAACCAATGCTCCCTCTGAGCTGTGGAGTCTTGTGAGCAAAAATTCTACTTTGCGAGCTTCTGGCATTAAGGTTGTGAGCGAGCGATTGGGCTGCTGCATCGATGAGTTTGCTCTGGAGCCATCCCTTCCTGAGCTAAGGCAAAAACGTGTGAGCCGGAGGCTAAAAAAACCTGCGAGCTAGCTCACACGGACTCAGCTTAGAGGGAACATTGGAACCCACTCCAGCCACCGCCTGGAGGTTGGCAACCCTGACAAAACCTGCCTGCTCCCATGAGCTTTAAAACAGACAGGATGTCCAGGAAGCTGGACTACACAAAAAGCACCTTGCAATATCTGAAAGTTGTATTGGTTAAAATTTGGAGCGTTGCCAACCTCCAAGTGGGGCCTGGAGATCTCCTGAAAATGACAACTCGTCTCCAGATTTCAACTGTCAGTTCCCCGGGAGAAGATGGCTGCTTTGGTGGGCAGACTCGATGTCATTGCACTACATTGAGGTCATCCTGCCCACCTCGGCATGCCCCTCTAAAATCTCCAGGTATTTCCCAAACCGGAGTTGGCAACC